GTAGTTGTTTGGTCCTTTTTTTTTTTTTTTTTTTATGTAATTTTTAATGTATCGTAAATTGTCTTTTTTGTTGGTCTTGCTGTAAAACCAATTGCCCTTAGGGGACATAAAGAAAGAAAGAAAGAAAGAAAGAAAGAAAGAAAGAAAGAAAGAAAGAAAGAAAGAAAGAAAGAAAGAAAGAAAGAAAGAAAGAAAGAAAGAAAGAAAGAAAGAAAGAAAGAAAGAAAGAAAGAAAGAAAGAAAGAAAGAAAGAAAGAAAGAAAGAAAGAAAGAAAGAAAGAAAGAAAGAAAGAAAGAAAGAAAGAAAGAAAGAAAGAAAGAAAGAAAGAAAGAAAGAAAGAAAAAAAGAAAGAAGAAAGATCTATACTGTATATATATATATATGCAAAATAAGCTGCATGTATATGTATGTATGCTTCAACCTCAAGGCTGATCAACTCTGGCCTGAGTGTCCACAGAGTTCAGCACCAGTCCTAATCAAACACACTTGCCTGTAGTTTTAAAGTAAATCTGAAGATTTTTACCTGGTTGGTGGGTTTGATTGGGGTTGGAGTTTAATTCTGCAGGATGATGGCCCTACAGAAGCAGGGTTGGTACCACTGTTCTGCCATAGATGTAAAGATGTAGTCAACTAAATATAATAACATTAGTTTAATGTGAATATTAACATTTGCAAAATTTTTTAACTAAAATCTCCTCCCCACTCACAACCCCCTTGTGTGATTGTGAGCCTCTGCTTTTCCGTGACAGAACAGCTAGAAAAACTATAAAAATGCAGCAATTCTCTGGTTATTTTAATGGTTAGGTCAGTATTCAACCCTTCCCCAAAATTCTCAACATACAGCCAACCTCAGACTGCTTTTAAATGCAAATATCGTTAAATCAGAGCCAGGGCTCAGGGCCAGATCCCATAGACAGATAGCTCAACCACTCAGATATCAATCTATAAAACGCGCCCTGCTTCTGAGAAATGTTGCATAGTTTTTCAGTAGAAAACTATTTTTTTTATGAAATAGCATGGGAAGTGCTGTACAACTTTCTGTGTGCGAGTCTGTGGGTATGTGTGTTTGTACTGAGAAGAGATCAGAATAAAGATTTAGCTTTTTAAATAAATAAAAAATATAAATAAATGCTTTTTATAAATAATAATGGAAGTAATTTGTCATTTATATACTGTTTGTCATATTTTATTTGCTTGATCAGTGTCTGTTTGATTATTTTGCTGTGGCAAAGCTCTTGGAAATAACTTAAATAAAATAATTTTTTACAAAAATCCAGAATTGTAGAAAGCCACAGTATAACCTTTAACTATATGTGCTGAAAAAGTTTTCTTATCGATCCATGTCTATTAGCCATCATGACTCCATGACATAAGAAATAGTAGAGAGAAATCTGTCCTCATTAATGAACATCCTGCATCATGCATCAACAGATCTTGGCCTTTTGTTTTTTAGAAAGACTACGTATTTGTAGTAGGTAAAAAAAAAGTAACTACAGTTGTATTATGAACTGTAAATTATTAAAGAATCAAAATGCATGCATACATGCTTCATTTTTTATCATCTAGACCATCTTTAGTCTGAAGGTAAGAACGGAAGTATTAACAGGAACTCACAGATCTTTTCATCACCGTGTTGCTCATATTGCAAGAAAAACAGAACTTATGGGGAACTCAGTCTCTCTGCCCACCATCGAATAGTATACAGTGTTTTCCAGTGAGAGCTCATTGATTGTCTTCATGATGTCCCTCATCTCTCTGCTCCTGCTGGCCTCTCTGCTGCCACACCTGACCTTCACTGGTGAGATTGATTATTTAACAGCATATTATTTAAATTTTTTTAAGAACATTTACTTTTTATTTACTGAAGAAGCTGACTTGGCACTATCTCTCTCTCAGCTCGTGTGAATGTGGGAATAGTGAACGGCACAGAAGCAAAACCCCACTCCAGACCTTACATGGTTTCTCTTCAGTTGACTAAGACACATATCTGTGGCGGATTCCTCATTTCTGATGAGTTTGTGTTGACTGCTGCACATTGCTGGAACGGGTGAGGGTTTTTTGTGTAGTTACAATAATTTTGGCTGACATAGTGACTGCAGTGCATTGTATGATGAAACTAAGCATCATGACTTTCTCTTTCAACAGATCTCAGATTCTGACGGTTGTGATTGGTGCTCATGACTTAAGGAACAGTAAGAATTCAGATCGTATCGGAGTGAAGTCCTACATCCCACATCCAAGCTATATTATTTATCTTTCCTGGAATGACATCATGCTTTTGAGGGTAACAATTTGTAATACATTTAGCTGTTGACAACTTCACAAACATCACTATAATCAGCAGCAGTTCAGTCTTATAAAAGATGATTAAATCAGTTTATTAATAAAAATTGTGTTTTTGAATTACAGTTACAGGAAAAAGTCAGCCTAAACAACTATGTTGAATGGATATCATTACCAAAGAAAGGTGAAGATGTCGAGGTGAATACTCTCTGTAGTGTTGCGGGCTGGGGACAACTGTGGACTGATGGCCCAAAGAGCGATCGTCTAATGGAGGCAAACGTGCATATAATGAACAACAGAGAATGTCACAAGAGGTGGCAAGAGACTTTCTCAGTCTCACAGATGATGTGCACACATGGCCATGGTGGATCCTGCATTGTATGTACAAAAGATGATTCACACACTTTGATTCTTATGTTAATTAATGAACCGAGTTTCAACTGATACAGTATATGGTATTTTATTGACTTTTTCTCTTAACAGGGGGATTCTGGGGGTCCTTTGGTTTGTGGAAACACTGCAGTTGGTGTCACAACATTTGGATATAAATTACTCTGCAATTCACCTGAGAAACCTAATGTGTATATTAAGATTTCACTATATATTCCATGGATCAACAGCATAATTAGAAATGTGAAGTGAGTTCAGTTCTTGAATTCTCCTGCATAACCCGTTTTAATAAATGTATCACTTGACAAACATCAGTCATTCAAAGTGTCTTCATTGTCACAAGCATATATATATTGTATGTCTGTGTGCGTATATATAAATATTGTATTTGAATATTTGGGCTCATAAAAAATGAATATTCAAATATTTGTTTATTTGAATTAGGTTTAAAGTAAGTTTTTGTCACCATTTCTGAACAAGCTTGTGGTTAGGCATTATACACAACAATGTTCTACCGTAATGTTACCTTATACCTCAAGGTTATCTTTTAGTTGAAAACGTGTATAAACAAATATATATATAAGAACAAAAGCATTTAAGCTCAAGCAGAGCAAATGCAAAAAATAAAGCAGACCATGCCAATTACAGTACTGAGTCGGCCTATGCTTATCGTGTTTATATCATTTTACATGTTAATGTTGAGAAAAACAATATCCACACGCTCAGGTGAAAATTGACTCCTCAGTCTGAAAACAGTAAGAATGCAAGCCGCAAAGTCGTTCCAGAGACACAAAGATAACGGTGTACTAAGCAAAGTTTCTTACAGTGCTTTGTGTTTTCTGTTCTTAAATCATTCTCCCTCAAGGAAACTTAAAGGGTTCCCAGGTGAAAAAGAAATATATTTAAATTGTGCTTTTTCAGACATACTTACTATATTTAAATTATACTATACTAAGTGCATATTAAATGTATTATTTTGAAACAACTTTAAGTATATTAAGTGTATATGTTTTCTGTAAATACACTAAAAAGTCACTAAAAGTATGCTTGTGTTTAGCATATTCCTTAAAAGTGTAACTAAAAATATATTTATTAACAGTATTTCTACTATACTTTTTAGAAATATACTAATAGTGTGCTTGTGTTTAGCATATTCCTTAAAAGTGTAACTAAGCATATATTTATTACCAAAGTATTTCTAGTATACTTTTTATAAATACATTAAAAGTATGCTTCTGTTTAGCATATTTCTTAGAAGTATAACTAAGCATATATTGAATACAAAAGTACTTCTAGTATACTTTTTAGAAATATATTAAAATGCAATTCAATATATTTTTATTACCCTTCAAATAAGCATGTTGGGAATACAAATGTATTATAAACATACTACTTGAATTTCAAGTATATTTTTAATACATTTAATACTACGTCTTTTTCACCTGGGTTAGTTCACCCAAAAATGAGCCTGTGATGTACTCGCCCTCGAGGCATCCTAGGTGTATATGACTTTCTCCTTTCAGACAAATCCAATCAGAGTTATATTAAAACTTGTCCTGTACCCTCCAAGCCTTACAATGGGGGTAAGCGGGTGCTTTTTGTCAACAGTCCAGAAGACGTGAAATAAAGTGCGTGCATCTGTAATAAAATGTGCCTCACACGGCTCCGGGGGGGTGAATAAAGGCCTCCTGTAGCGAATCCATGCGTTTTTGTAAGAAAAATATCAATTTTTCAAACGTAATAAACACTTTTTTTCTCATTTCCGCTGACTGATTTATTAGATTATTTATTACAAGATTATTTATATTTAGAACAGGTTTAAAATCTCTGCAATTCCCTAAACTCACCACCAGGGGTCACCATCCCCAGCATTATAAGTTAGACCAGTGTTTCCCAACCGGGGTGCCGTCTGTCGAGAGCAGGGGTGCCGTGTAAAAAATCCGTTCCACAAGTTTGTTAAAATTTCCAAAGGGTGCCGCGACTAAAAAAAGGTTGGGAAACACTGAGTTAGACCTCTAAATGGACTATATAGGTAGGTTACTATATATACAGACATATAAATATGCCACCTGTGTTATAACGTTGCTTTTCCATTCATATATTCCATTCATATATTTGTGGTAATGAATTGTAAGTATTCAAGTACCAAAATGTATGCTATCCTGCTTAATACTTCTAGACCAAACCATCTGTGGCCAAGAACAATATTTACTCATCATTGCCACTTCCACCACAAATTGAAAAATTTGAAAAAGGTGCTGGGTTCGAGTACTGCTCGGAGCGGGTGCGAGAAGCAGTGTAATGAAATGTGTTTATGCGGTTTACTCTTATCTGGGACAATTGAAATTTACCTCAGGAGTCTTCATATTGCTTGTAGATGTTACTATACTTCGAGTGTATTTAACCTGTGGCAAATTCAATTGAATGGGTATGATTTGGAAAGGCACACACGTCTTAAAAGGTCTAACAGCTGAAAATGCATATCAAAGTAAAAACCAAGTCCTGAGTAAAAAAAAAAAAAAACTGCTGTAGAGGTCAGAAACAGGATTGCATCAAGCCACACATCTGGGGAAGAGTTCAGAAAAAATTCTGCTGCATTAAGGGTCTCCGTTACCCTTAATGGAAGAAGTTTGAAACAACCAGGACTCTTCCTAGAGCTGGCAAACTGAGCAATTGATGGAGAAGGGCTTTGGTTAGAGTAATGATCAAGAACCTGATGGTCCTTCTAGTTGAGCTTCATGATCATATGTGGAGATGGGAAAAACCTACAGAAGGAGAAACATCACTGCAACACTCCACCAATCTGGGCTTTATGGCGGTGTGGCCAGACTCAATCCTCTCCTCAGTGAAGACGCATGAAAACCACTTGGAATTTGCAAAAAGCACCTAAAAGACCCTCAGATTGTGAGAAACAAGATTCTCTGGTCTGATGAACCTTAATTTCAAGCATCATGTTTGAAGGAAACCAGGCTCTGCTCATCACCTGCAGAGTACTATCCCAAAAGTGTGCTGGTAGCAGCCTCTTGCTGTGGGGCTGTTTCAGTGGCAGGGACTGAGGGACTCGTCAGAGTAGAAGGAACGCTCAGTGCAGCAAAATATAGAGATAGCCTTAACGAAAACCCAGTCCAGAGCATTCAGAACCTTAGACTGGGCAGAAGGTTCACCTTCCAACAGGACAATGACCCTAAGAACACAGCAAGAGTGGCTTATAGACAACTGTGTGAATGTCCTCGAGTGGCCCAGCCACAGCCTGATCTTGAACCCAATCAAATATTTCTGGAGAGACCTGAAAATGTGTGTCTGCCCCATCCAAGCTGACAGAGCTTGAGAGGTGAAGAGGAGAGGAGAAGAATGGCAGATAATTGACAAATGCTGATGAGCAAAGCTTGTCGCATCAAACCCAAAAAGACTTGAGGCTGTAAAGGTGCTTCAGAGCTAAGTACTGAGTTAATGTACTTGTTTCAGGTTTTTTTAAATATATAAATTTATGAAGTTTATGGTGTATCAAGATTTATGTGGGGAAAAAAGTAATTTAAAGCTGTTTAACATAACATATACATACATCCATTGTAAAAAATTAACTGTAAAATTTACGATTTTGATTTTGCCTGTAAATTTACAAAAGTACTGTAAATCAATAATTACAATTGTACTGTAAAAATACAGAAAACTGTTTTTACAGCTATAACTGTAACGTTTATAAATATGTGTGTATATGTATATACACTGAACAAAATTATAAACGCAACACTTTTGTTTTTGCCCCCATTTTTCATGAGCTGAACTCAAAGATCTAAGACTTTTTCTAAGTACACAAAAGGCCTATTTCTCTCAAATATTGTTCACAAATCTGTCTAAATCTGTGTTAGTGATCACTTCTCCTTTGCCGAGATAATCCATCCACCTCACAGGTGTGGCATATCAAGATGCTGATTAGACAGCATGATTATTGCAGAGGTGTGCCTTAGGCTGGCCACTCTAAAATGTGCAGTTTTATCACACAGCACAATGCCACAGATGTCGCAAGTTTGGGGGCAAAAACAAAAGTGTTGCGTTTATAATTTTGTTCAGTATATATATATATATATAGAGAGAGAGAGAGAGAGATTTAATTTTATGAAGAGTGATTAAATGTTTGTTTTTTTTATTACAGCTAGAGAAAAAGGTCAAACTAAGCCAAAATGTTGAACCGATATCATTAATAAAGAATAAAAAAGGCATCAAATCAGGTACTGTCTGTAGTGTTGCTGGCTGGGGAAGACTGCAGACTAAAGGCTCAGCGAGTGATCGCCTAATGGAGGCAAACGTGAAAATAATGAAAGACAGACAATGTAAAGAAAAATTGAAAGGAAGTGTGAAATATTTAATCTCAAAGATGATGTGTGCATATGGCCGTGGTGGATCCTGCAAAGTATGTACACAACATAATTCACAGACTCTGTTTCTGGTTTCACTGAGATTAAACTGATATACGATTCTAATTCATGTGTAAATAATGTGTTAAAACGGGGGGGGGGGGATTCAGGAGGGCCTTTGGTTTGGGGAAAAT